CTTCAAGTGATTCTCCTGCCTCAGCCCTTCTGAGTAGCTGGGGTTACAGGCATGAGCCACCACGCCGGACTAATTTTGTATTTTTAGTAGAGACAGGATTTCATGTTGCTGGTCTCGAACTCCTGACCTCAGGTGATCTGGCCACCTCGGCCTCCCAAAATGCTGGGATTACAGGCGTGAGCCATGGTGCCCAGCCACAAATTCTTTATATATTCTGGATACACGTTTTTTATCAGACTTAGCTTTGCCAAAATTTCGTGGTTACTGGTCTTTTGTCTTAACAGTGTCTTTGGAAAGCAGTTTTTTATTTTGGTGGTCTAATATATTTCGTCTTTCATGGATGGTACTTTGGTATTATATCTACATTTTTGCTTAACCCAAGGTTTAGGGTTATATTTTTTCTAGAAGTTTTATAGTTTTAGTTTTAAGGTTGATGATCCATTTGGAATTAATTTTTTTGTATGGTATGAGGTATAGACCCACGTTTTGGGGGATTTTTGCATATGGATATCCAATTGTTCTGGCACCATTTGTTGAAAATGCTATCCTTTCTCTAGTACATTACCTTTGTGCCTTTGAAAAAACTCATTTTGTAGACATGTGTGGATTTGTTTTCAGACTCTTTCTCTGTTCCTTTGATCTATTTGCTTAACTTGATGAAATACCACGCTGTTTTGATGAGTACAGCTCTATAATAATTCTTGAAATCAGGGAGTCTTCTTTTAAAATCTGCTCACCTTTTAAAATATAGTTATAACTTTTAATGTCCTTCTTTGCTAATGCTAACATCTGTGTAGTTTTGGATCTCTTGATTAATCTCATTATGTGCTGTGCTTTCCTGCATCTTTGTATGCCTCGTAATCTCTGACTGGATGCCAGACATAATGAATTTTACTGTGTAGAGTACTGGACATTTTTATATTCCTATAAATCTTTTTGAGTCTTGTTCTCAGATATATTTAATTGGTTCGAAAAAACAGTTTGATGTTTTAATGTGTTGTTTTTATGACTTGTTAGGCAGGTCCGGTGCTGTCTTGGGCTAATTATTCCTCATTTACCAGGCAAGACCTTCCTGGATATTTGTATTAATCATGCCTTTTGTTTTCTGTTTTATGTTGCTTTGGTATTCTTGGGCCTTGCTAATCCTGGAGGCTGCTCCTCCTAGGGTTAGCTAATTCCTAGAGATAACAACTTGCTGGCAGCGTCTTTCATACACAAACTAATCCAAAATCCATACCCCCAACTGCCTCCTTTATCTAATTCTCATACACTAAGCCAGTATTTCCTTTGCCCTCAATCACCTCAGGGTGAGGTACTTGACAAGAGACCACTTATAAACCAGTTGAAAATTATTCAGACTATCCAATCCTAAACTTGCTCAAACTTGCCTACTCTGCCTCACTCATTCCTTCTTGAGAAAACTACAATAAAGGCTCTGGATATTGCTCTACCATTGCTCTTTCAGCCTCCTGACTCAGGCTAGTGTTTCCCAATATGGCCCATGTAACGTGGTTTGCCCCCTTCTTTGAGAACTGTAATACATTCTTTCAAGGAAGCTGTCTCCGGGTCTTACTATACTTGATTAAAACAAAATCAGATATGGTACATCTTAAAATAACACTGTACTCCATATCCTGTGAATTTTTTGTCTGGTAGGAAAAGGTTTCTTCTCAGCCCAGCATGATGCCAAGCACTGTTCCTATTCTTTATGGGTCTTCCCCAGCCTGTTAACTTCCTCACATTGGTGTGCTGATCAGTATTCTGCTGAATATTCAAAAGGGACCCGCTGCAGATCTCTTGGGTTCTCCATGCGACTTTCTTCTCTGGTATTCTGTCCTATAATTCTAGCTGCTGGGTGGCTTCTCTGAACTCTTAGCTCTCATTTCTCAATGCAGGCAGGCTGGTAGGTCAGCTTCAGTCCCCTTCCCTGTGCTACAGCTTGGAGACTCTTGTAAGGCAGTGAGCTGGGACAATTGTACAACTCCACTTATTTATTTCTCCTTTCCCAGGGATTATTCTCCTTCAACGTCTGATGTCTTGAAAACCATTGTGTCTTTTTTTTTTTTTTTTTTTTTTGAGACAGAGTCTCGCTGTGTCGCCCAGGCTGGAGTGCAGTGGCGCGATCTCGGCTCACTGCAAGCTCCACCACCTGGGTTCACGCCATTCTCCCGCCTCAGCCTCCGAGCAGCTGGGACTATAGGCGCCCGCCACCACACCCCGCTAGTTTTTTGTATTTTTAGTAGAGACAGGGTTTCACCATGTTAGCCAGGATGGTCTCGATCTCCTGACCTCGTGATCCACCCGCCTCGGCCTCCCAAAGTGCTGGGATTACAGGCTTGAGCCACTGTGCCCGGCCAAAACCATTGTTTCATATTATTTTGTGTGTGTTTTTTTCAGGCACAATGATAAATCAATTACTTTCATCTTGGCTAGTGGCAGAAAAACTCCTGTATGCTTTATTTTGATAGTTTTTTAAAGTTATGGTTCTACCAGTGTAGAAGCTGGGATAGTATCAGTTAAGTGAGTCCACATCCACCCTTGTACAGATAACCAACCAGAGGCTGGGAGAGGTGGTCACGGTGGCACTCAGAACCGGAATTCATGTCTTTGTTTTATCTTTTTCTTTTTGAGATGGAGTCTTGCTCTGTCACCCAGGTTGGAGTGCAGTGGCACAATCTCAGCTCACTGCAAGCTCCGCCTCCTGCGTTAAAGCAATTCTCTGCCTCAGCCTCCTGAGTAGCTGGGATTACAGGCACCTGCCCCCACACCTGGCTAACTTTTGTATTTTTAGTAGAGACAGGGTTACATCATCTTGGCCAGGCTGGTCTTGAACTCCTAACCTCGTGATCCACCTGCCTCGGCTTCCCAAAGTGCTGGGATTACAGGCGTGAGCCACTGTGCCCTGCCCAGAATTCATGTTAAATACAGGTCTAATTACCTTTATGACTATCCTTTAGTCTATACCTTCTTTAAATTCGAGTTCTTTTTTTTTTCTTTTTTTTTCTTTCTGAGACAGAGTCCTGCTCTGTTGCCCAGGCTGGAGTGCAGTGGTGCGATCTCGGCTCACTGCAACCTCCACCTCCTGGGTTTAAGCAATTCTCCTGCCTCAGCCTCCCCAGTAACTGAGATTACAGGCATGTGCCACCGCACCCGGCTAATTTCTGTATTTTTAGTAGAGATGGCGTTTTGTCATGCAGGCCATGCTGGTCTTGAACGCCTGACTTCAGGTGATCTGCCCACCTCAGCCTTCCAAAGTGCTGGGATTACAGGCATAAGCCACCACCCCCGGCCTTATTCTTCATTTTAAAGTAACATATTTTCAAAGAAAAAAAGCAAAAACATGCTTAAATATTCATATTTCCACATGACTTGACTTCCCCAATCTTGGCAAAAAAGTTGGAAGCTTATTCTCCAGAGGGAGTTAGAAAGTTTCTGGACTAGGAGCCCTCTCAGAAACCTAGAGGATGAATGAACTGAATGTGGACATACTAGAATGCTGAAACTCTCAGCTCTCCTCCCCAACAGAGCTCTCAATCCATCAGCTCAGAGTAAACCCTCCTGATGTGAGACCAAAAGTTTCTCCAAGAGATCCTGTCCAGCCCAGAGCAAAGTTCTAGAAATAAAGACACTGGGGATTTCCCCAAAGAAGCTCAATGAGATTACCTTACAAACACAAATTCTTTTTAATACTCCACACTCTTAAATATAAGCAAGATTACCAATGATTGCCAGGCAGTTAAAGAAAGTCTGTAACATGAAAGATTAAACCGAAGAAACAGAAAGCGGAAAGACATATGCAGGGAGACGAAAGCTTCTACAGAGCATATTAATATCCTCAAAGATGTTCCAACAAGGAACAAGGTACTGTCTGTATATATCTACATAAACAAAGGAACAATCAGAGAACCAGCTTGGAGTAATCCTCCATAAATTATGATCAAAAGATAAGACAATTGGGGTTGGGGTACACAAGAAGAGGTAATTCTGGGTCCACCATCTGAGTAGCAGAAATTCCAGAAAGAAAAACCACAGACAGTGGGGCATGGTAGCTCACACCTGTAATCCCAGCACTTTGGGAGGCCAAGGCGAGTGGATCACCTGAGGTCACAAGTTCGAGACCAGCCTGACCAACATGGTGAAACCCTACCTCTACTAAAAATACAAAAAATTAGCCGGGTGTGGGGGCAGGTGCCTGTAATCCCAGTTACTTGGGAGGCTGAGGCAGGAGAACCGCTGAGGCAGGAGAATTGCTTGAACACGGAAGGCAAAGGTTGCAGTGAGCTTAGATGGCGCCATTGCATTCCAGCCTGAGTAACAGGAGTGAAACTCAGTCTTAAAAAAATAAAAAAGAAAAACCACAGACAACCTAAGGAAGAAAATCATTGACAAAGAATTCAAGAAAGTTTCCCAGACATTAAGGACAAGAGTCCACTTGGAAAGGGGACTGGCATGGAAACAGACCTTCACCAAGGCAGGTATTAATACATCATTGTGAAATTTTGGAACACTGGTGACAGAAGGGGAAAAAAAAAGTCATATAAAAAGGATCCAGACTCAAAATCACTTCAGACTTCTCTATAGCAATGTTAGATGACAAAGTAACCACACCTTCAAAATTCTGAAGGATATTGATTCTAACATAGAATTTCATACCCAATCAAATCAAGTGTGAGCACATTTTTAGACATGCAGGTACTCCCCCAAAATAAGGTGATAAAAGAAAAGGTTACACAGAAAACAGATCCAACAGAGGAGCAGTGTGGGGAGTGCCCCGGGTGACAGCGACACACCAAGCACAGGGGGAAACCAGTCCAGATTGGGGTGGGTCAAGAATAATAACTGATAAATGATGTGTCATGATCTTTAGATATGACTGGGGATGAATTAGTGACAAATAGAAAACTAAGCAAATAAAAATGCAAGAGGATTACTTTCAGGGAAAAGTTCCATAGTAATCTAGTCTATGATATGACTCAGCTGTGATTATTATGACACTGCCATATTTTTAAAAAGTTTAATCACATCTTAATAATTTAACACTGAATATGATTTAACCAGATTACAATATCAGGGAGATGGGTGAGAGGAAATATATTTATGGTGGGCAGGAGGAAGAGAGGATTCAAAAGATAATGGTGGCCTGGTGCAGTGGCTCACACCTATAATCCTAGCAGGCTGAGGCCGGCGGATCGCTTGAGCCCACGAGTTCAAGACCAGCCTAGGCAACATGGCAAAACCCTGTCTCTACAAAAAAATACAAAAATTAGCTGGTCATGGTGATGCACACCAGTATTTCTAGCTACTCGGGGGTCTGATGTGGGAGAATCACCTGAGCCCGGGGAGGTCGAGGTTTCAGTAAGCCATGATTGTGCCATTGCACTCCCGCCTGAGGGAGAGTGAGACCGTCTTAAAACAAGCAAACAAACAAAAAACCATCAAGGAAAAGCATGAAAACATGTTCATATTAAGACATGGAGGTAAATACAAACAAATCAGCCAAGAGTTGGAAAGACTATCGCGAGACAAGGAAAGTGGGGTAAAGGCAGGGTAGGAGGGCTACTGTCTTTCATAATAAACCTTACGGAACAACTTGTTTTCAGTATGCGTTAACTGATTTTTCCCCCTAAGATGCAGGATATAAAACTGTTTACAAAGCTACATATTTTAGATTGATCCCCCTTCACTTTTCAGGATCTAGGTAGGGTTATAGCCAGTTTCCACTATGTGGAGAATCTGCAAGGCTGGAGATCCTGTATGGGTCCAGGGTGAACTACATCAAAAGTAGTTTTTGGGATCGAGGATGCAGTTCACTATTATTAAGTGTGATGTATTATTATTCAAAGTACTGTTTACTGTGAAAGTATGATGAATTCAGTAATGGTTATACTAAAATAACATATTTAAGTACAGAGTCAAAATATGGCTCCAGGTCTCCTTAGATAGAATACTTAAGAATTGCTGGGGACAAGGGAATTGTTTAAAATGCAGATTCCTGGGCCCCACTCCAGGCATGGGGCTTGCAGTCTTCATTTCTAACAAGATCCTTAGCTGCTGTTGAAAACTACTGCTTTCATTTGTTTTGTTTTTTTAAGAGACAGGGTCTCGCTGTCATCCAGGCTGGAGTGCAGTGGTGCAATTACAGCTCACTACAGCCTTAATCTCCTGGCCTCACGTGGTCCTCCTGCCTCAACCTCCGGGGTAGCTGGGACTGCAGGCGTCAGCTGTACTAGGCTACTTTTCAATTTTTTATAGAGATGGGGTCTTGCTTTGTTGCCCAAGTTAGTCCCAAACTCCTAGGTTCAAGTGATCCTCCCGTCTTGACCTCCCACAGTGCTGGCATTATAGGCGTGGGGCACCATGTTTGGCCTGAAGCCCTACTTTAAATGCCTATTGTATCTGACCAACTCACTGATGCTTATTCCTCAGAAGAATACCAGTTCTGTAACCTCCAAGCAGTATCATAAGACAAAGCTTATTAGAAACTCATTGACGCCAGGTTAACTAATGTGCTGGATTTTTTTTTTTCCTCCTCTTCCATTACTTGAACAATCTGTTCAACGAGCAATATTCTAAAGCCAATAATTGATCACTTTTCCTCTTGATGCTTATACTGTAGCTCATACCGTACTGAATCCCTGGCAAGACCTCTTTTTGGTTATTTGATCTTTTTAGGCTGCTTTTCCAATTTCTGTGTTTCTGTCACAATTATTCACCCTGTGTATCACACACTCTTTACTACTACTTATGTTTCTTTAAAGACAAAGTCTTGCTCTTTTGCCCAGGCTGGAGTACAGTGGCAAGGTCATAGCTCACTGCAGCCTCACACTCCCAGGCTCAAGTGATCCTCCCACCTCAGCCTCCCAAGTAGTGAGGACTACAGGTGTGCACCACCATGCTGAATTAATTTTTAAATTTTTTTGTAGAGACAGGGTCTCACTATGTCTCGCAGGCTGGTTTTGAACTCCTCTCAATCCTCTACCTCAGCCTCCCAGAGTGCTGGAAGCAAGCCACTGTGCCCAGCTGCTGGTCACCCTTTCTACACTAAAAACTATGGATGTGTCAATCAATGCTGAGATGCTCTGATAAGCTCCCAAGAATCTGTTTCCCCAAATCACCACAAAACTGCTTGTGTAGCCAGTATAGGAGCCAAGGAAGTTGGCCACTAGGATCCCCTGAATTACTTTTTTTTTTTTTTGAGATGCAGTCTCGCTGTCGCCCAGGCTGGAGTGCAGTGGTGCAATCTCTGCTCACTGCAACGTCCACCTTCTGGGTTCAAGTGATTCTTCTGCCTCAGCCTCCCAAGTATCTGGGACTACAGGTACACGCCACCACGCCCGGCTAATTTTTGTATTTTTTGTAGACATGGGGTTTCACCATATCGGCCAAACTCCTGACTTAGTGACTTGCCCGCCCTGGCCTCCCAAAGTGCTGGGATTACATGCGTGAGCCACCGAGCCCGGCCCCTGAATTACCTATGACTTTATCAAGGGACAGGGTCACCTGCATTCTTAAAGCTGAGCTGATAACAATTCCACAAATGTTAACTGAACAAAGTGCCACACTAAGTGCCCGTGTCTGAAGATGAAAGAGACACAATCTGTGTGTTCTCGGAGCTTCTCCAAGGTGAACTCTTCTGGGGCTTAACCTGCAACTGGCCAGGAACAGCAGCTTAAACTCTCATCAATAGCTGTGCTATTTCAAAGTACTGGCATTCTCCCAGGACACCCCCCAGGGTGTCAAAATTTAGCCAAAGCAAACTCCAAATGAATACAAAGTCCTTATTTTCTCAAAGGAAAAAAACAAAACAAAACAGAACAAAAAACCCCCCAGATTTATTTAGCTTCAACATTTCCCCTGATCTAAAGAGAAAAATGTCAAAAGATACCTAGGACATATACACAAGCACCCACCCTCCAGTGAACTCAGATAACCTGAAAGAAAAAAGGGCAAAGGTCTGTTCAGCGGAGAAAATTATCTTCGTTTTTGAAAGATGTTTCCACGTCCCATTCCACGTCCTCTTCCTCTTGCAGCCACTGAAAGGGAAGAAGAGAAAACAGGAGGCCAGGTCAGCGTGGTCAGTGAATGCTCATAGCACAGAGTAGCCAGGGCCTAGGACACCAGTTAGAAGGGTTCTGAAGGGTTACCTGGTCCAACATCACCCTGGCCATGGCATTTCCGACACCCCCCGCCTTTTTGAGACAGACTCCCACTCTGTCGCCCAGGCTGGAGTGCAGTAGCATGATCTTGGCTCACTGAAACCTCTACCTCCCAGGATCAGGTGATTCTTGTGTCTCAGCCTCCTGAGTAGCTGGGGACTACAGGCGTGAGCCACAACACCTAGCTAATTTCCTGTATTTTTAGTAGAGACAGGGTTTCACCATGTTGGCCAGGCTGCTATCGAACTCCTGACCTCAGGTGATACGCCCACCTCGGCCTCCCAAAGTGTCAGGATTACAGACGTGAGCCACCACACCCGGCTGACAGCCACTGCATTTCAGAGCGGGGATGGAGGCAGAGGGGCAGGGGCTGGGGACTGGCATCAGAGCAGGAGGTAGTACCACACTCTTGCCTTCCAGTCCCACACTGCTCTCTCCAAGAGGCTGGGAGGTAGCATGCTGAGGGCAAAGAAGGTGGTCTGAGAGCTACAGAAGAGAAATCCCTGGGGCTGGCCTTGGCTGAGCTAAAAAACATAGATGTACTGAATTCATTTTTTCAATTCTGAAACAAATATACTTAAGTGTTAACATGTGTTAGATCTGGGAGAAGGGTTATTTTTTGTATTTTTTTCTGAGAAAATAATTATTTCAGGCTAGGTACAGTGGCTCATGTCTGTAACCCCAGGCCTTTGCGAGGCCAAGGCAGGCAGATCACTTGAGGTCAGAAGTTCGAGACCAGACTGGCCAACTTGGCAAAACCCCATCTCTACTGAACACACAAAAATTAGCTGCACGTGGTGGTATGCGCCTGTAATCCCAGTTACCTGGGAGGCTGAGGCAAGAGAATCACTTGAACCTAGGAGTCGGAAGAGGTCTCAGTGAGCTGAGATCGAGCCACCGCACTGCAGCCTGGGCGATGGAGACTGAGTCTCAAAAAAAAAAAAAAAATTCACAGTAGCAAAAAGAAAACACTCTCCATATCAACAGCATGATAAGACTGTTGTTCTCCTCTGTAACCCAGGGGTTCTAGGAGAAGCCAGGGTTTGAAGGACAGATAAAATTTTTTTTTTTTTTTTTTTTTTGAGATGGAGTCTAGCTCTGTCACTCAGGCTGGAGTGCACTAGCATAATCTTGCCTCACTGCCACCTCCACCTCCCGGGTTCAAGCGATTCTCCTGCCTCAGCCTCCCGAGTAGCTGGGACTACTGGGACCCACCACCACGCCCGGCTAATTTTTGTATTTTTAGTAAAGACAGGGTTTCACTGTGTTGGCCAGGCCGGTCTCAAACTTCTGACTTCATGATCTGCCCACCTCAGCCTCCCAAATGCTGGGATTACAGGCATGAGCCACTGTGCCCGGCCCCTCACACTATTTTATCTTTAAACTCGAGCTCTCATCCATGGTTCCCGGCTCATAACTCCTATAGTCCTCGTGATAGTCTTTTGTTACAACGTTGGGGCACTTTAGGCCTCAGAAGCAGGACTCGGGGGACAGAATCTCTCTCTTGAAACTTCTCCTGCCCCCCTTTCACCTGCCCAAGGCCGGACCCTAATCTGAGTGTGGGTCATAAGAGCTCACCCCAGAGAAAGCTCCTGCCCTATACCCTGGAGGAACAGATGCTGCACAGAGAGGCCAAAAAGAGTCTGGACAGGCCTTGCGGGGTCTCCCCACCCCGTCTCTTCGTATTAGATCACACCCTTTTTGTCTAATGGCATTTCCACATGGTTGTCCATCCTTTAACCATGTCAATCCAATGAAGTCTCCATAAAAGGCCCAAGAGGACAGGGTTAGGGGAGCTTCGGGACAGCTGACCACGCGCAGCCTGACAGGAAGGTGAACAAGAACTCATCCATGTGCCGGGAAGAAACTCCATGGGGATAGAAGCTCTTGTGCTTGGGACCCTTCCAGATCTCACCCTACGCATCTCTTCATGCGGCTGTTTACTTGTAGCCTATAAAATATCCTTTGTTATACACCAGTAAACTTAAGTATGTGATTCCCGAATTGTGTGAGCTACTCCAGCAATTAATCGAACCCAAGGAGGGAGAAGTGAGAACCCTGACTGAAGCTATTCAGATGTTCTGGAGGCCTGTGCTTATGAATAATAGTGGGGGGTGCAGGCGCAGTCTTGTGGGACTGAGCCCTCAACCTGTGGTTTTTCAGGCTATCTCCAGGTAGACAGTGTCAGAACTGAAGGACACCCAGCTGGTGTCTACTGTGGAACTGACTGCTTGCTTGGTCACAGAAGTCTTCTTTGTTGATGGTTGTGTTGTGAGAGGAGAGGAAAAACACAGTTTGACTTTTTTCCTCCCACATACATAAAACATGTATAGCAGCTACAGATACCAATGCCTTCCCTGGCTGCAAACCTTTTTTATCAACACTAAGACAGTTTCCAAGGGCCGCAATTACTTTGTGGCCTAATCTAATCAACATGACAGAACTTTTCATGAACCTAATATAAAACCAAATTAGGCTAACCAAGAAGCAAGGCCAGACTAGCGGAATGGGAAAAGGACAGTCCCACTTTTGGAATGTACTAAAAGGCGGCTTTATTTCTGAAAACGGAGCTCCACTATCAGATCTCCCTAACTACATGCAGGGTGTCCATCCATAAGACCCAGTTTTGCTAGGAAATGCGGCTGTCACACTCCACGAGTCAGCTCATGTGCTCCGGATTGTGTGCTCGGCAAACGAGGGCAAGCTGTCCCACACCTCTCACACAGAACTTCTAGAAAGAAGGGCCTCTCTGGGTGTGGTGGTTCACACTGGTAATCCCAGCCCTTTAGGAGGCTGACGCAGGTAGATCATGTGAGGTCAGGAGTTCGAGACCAGCCTGACCAACATGGTGAAATCCCATCTCTACTAAAAATACAAAAATAAATAAATAAAATAAATTAAAAATAATTAGCTGGGCATGGCAGTGCACACCTGTAATCTCAGCTACTTCAAAGGCGGAGGCAGGAGAACTGCTTGAACCTGGGAGGCAGAAGCTGCAGTGAGCTGAGATCACGCCACCACACTCCAGCCTGGGTGATAAAGCAAGACTCTGTCTCAAAAAAATAAAATAAAAAAAGGTCCTCCTAGAAATTTATTATAGGAGATTCATCAACCCTTTCACTTAAGACAGTATTCCAGATGCAGCAAGACAGAGAAGGCCAGGCAAAGCCTCATGGCCCCACAGGATCTCTCCATGCTGCAAGGGGAAGGGGTGGCAGTGGATGTGGAGAGAGCAGAGGTCAAGCCCTCTCTGTTCCCAGGCAGTAAGAAGGCCCCTTTCTACAAGACACAAGACAAACCTGTATTTTAAAACCTGTGCATGAAGAGCACCTACCTTGGGCCTTGAGAATAGCAGCTTTTCCTCGGCCAGCCCCTGAGCCTTGGTTTTTATTTTTCATGCTCTTTAACATTGGTGCATTCTTCAGCATGTCAGGCAAAATCAGAAAGCGGATTTTGCTGCCACGGATGTATACCTGCTCCAGCTGTGCCACTCGGCCATCTCTGTATGTGACTGTGATGTTGGACATCTAGAAGGAAATCAGTGGCTAATCAATTAACAGTCAACAGCACCAGTGGTGGGGAGGGCCTTGACTGGTGGGAGGCGGAAGTCCAGAAAAGCAGACTGACATTGTGAGAAAGCTGGTGAATTACACAGCAATCATCAGTACTAACTATGTACACTAGGGACTGCACTGAGCACTTTACCTAAACAGTTCTCACAACACCTCCAGCGTGGGTATGAGCGCTCCCATTTTTTTTGAGACGGAGTTTCGCTCTTGTTGCCCAGGTTGGAGTGCAATGACGCGGTCTCGGCTCACTACAACCTCTGCCTCCCAGGTTCAAGCGATTCTCTTGCTTCAGCCTCCCGAGTAGCTGGGATTACAGGCATGCGTCACCATGTCCGGCTAATTTTGTATTTTTAGTAGAGGCGGGTTTCAACAGGTTGGTCAGGCTCGTCTCGAACTCCTGACCTCAGGTGATCTGCCCGCCTTGGCCTCCCAAAGTGTTAGGATTACAGGCGTGAGCCACTGTGCCCAGCCGAGTGCTCCCATTTTTACAGGTTAAAAAAACCAAAGCAGTTATCCAAGGTCAAACAGCAGAAATGCAGGGAACTCCAGATTCGAACCAGTTGGCCTAGCTTCAGAGCCCTGGCTGTGCAGCAAAGATGTGAAGAGCTCTTGAAGGTGCTAAACTCTAACTAAAACAGCTTCAAACTGCTGGTCCAAACTGTCTTCCCCTGCATTGCCTGGCACTCAGATTTCAAAGGCATCATGAAGGTCACGAGTATATACCAGATGTGGTTCTGACCCTCCAGAGTGCATACTCTAGAATGTGAGACAGAACCCTATAGCTTGGGTGACTAGGGACTGAGAAATGGAGGTGGTACCACAGGGCCTACACAAAGGGCCTGAAATTACTGGAGGGGTATGAGGCAACAGCTTGCACAAGGAAAAGAGCAGGCACTGGACAGGGTCATTACTTCAGATAAGAGTCAAGTTTATCAATAGAGGAAAGATCAATAGGGTTAAGGCAGCACTTAGGAAAGATAAATGTGTCAACAAGGATAGACGGTAGGATGGACAAATGAGGAGCCTGAAGGTGAGACCAGCTTGGCATGGGAGGGTGATACCAATCTGCCAGCATCAACCTCAACAAGTACCACGTTTACAGAAAAAGCAGCTCACTGTATAAACCTTCTAAAGGGAGAGGACTATAATTTATTCAGAATGGGTCAGCCCATGTTGTAGAGAGATGGGCTGTCTCCCAGATTTCTGTCTAGCTAGATGCCATCTTATACTCATTCATTCTTTTCCTCAAGTGCTAACAGGCCACCCAGCCTCTGCTTGAACACTCAGCGAGAAAAGAACAACTATGGGCCGGGTGTGGTGGCTCATGTCTGTAATATCAACACTTTGGGAGGTCAAGGTGGGAGGATCACTTGAGCCCAGGAGTTTTGAGACCAGCCTGGGCAACACAGTGAGACCTCATCTGTACAAAAATTAGCTGGGTGTGGTGGCACGTGCCTGTAGTCCAGCTACTCGGGAAGCTGAGGTGAAAGGATCACTTGGTTCTGGGAGGTTGAGGCTGCAGGGAACTGTGATGGAGCCACTGCACCCCAGCCTGGGCCACAGAGCAAGATTCTCTCAAAAAGCAAACAAACATAACTATGCTCTGGGGCCACCCCTGTGGTATATGAGCAGTTTCTAGAGGAATGGTTTCTAGAGCTTCCACCCACTATCCCTGTTCTACCTTCAGAGGCACCAGGGCTCCAGTTTCCCATAAATCTTCTGCTCTAGGGTCCTCACTCCCAGCCTGTTATCAAATTTTCATCCAGTTCCCAAGTCCTTACCAATCCTTTTCTTCCCCTGAAGAATACCATAACCTCTAGTGCCACAAATGAACACCAGGTATGGTTAGACTACCCAAGAGAGAAACTGGATACAACTCAGGCTCACCTGAATCTGCTGACAATTGAAATGTGTTTTGGGGCTGGGTGCGGGGGTTCATGCCTATAATCCCAGCACTTTGGGAGGCCAAGGTGGGTGGATCACCTGAGGTCAGGAGTTTGAGACCAGTCTGGCAAACATGGTGAAACCCCATCTCTACTAAAAATACAAAAATTAGCTCGGTATGGTGGCAAACACCTACTTGGGAGGCTGAGGCAGGAGAAAATCACTTGAACCCAGGAGGTACAGGCTGCAGTGAGCTAAGATCACACCACTGTATTCCAGCCTGGGCAACAGAGCGAGACTCCGTCTCAAAAAAAAAAAAAAAAAAACAGGTGTTTTGGAGACTGTGCCACACTCATGACTCTGTAAAATAGACCTAAAGACCTATAGGTGAGATCCAGCTCTGCCATTTGTCAGAAGTGTAACCCCAGATACATCTCCAGGCTTCTCTGAGCCTCCGTTCCCTCACCTACAAAGCTGAGGAAAATACAAGACGACAAAGCCAACATTTACTGAACACTTATTAGACATCAAGTGCTGGCCCAGGTGATTTCCCCACAGCAGCTCATGTCACCCCACAAAATCCTACAAGGTAAAGAGATGAAGTGACATAGCCATTCAGAGGCAGATCTGTCCCCAGAAATCCATGCCCTTTCCCCCTATTCTCCTGCTTGAGGTCACACCATGCTTACATGGCCTGGCTGGAGTTTGAACCCAGTTCTGTCTAACTCACACTCTTAACCACTGCATCTGATCACACCTCCTGAAATTGTTAAAAAGTAAACTAGGCCAGGCGCAATGGTTCATGCCTGTAATCCCAGCACTTTCGGAGGCCAAGATGGGAGGACTGCTTGAGGTCAGGAGTTTGAGACCAGCCTGGGAAACATAGCAAGAACCCATCTCTACAAAAATTTTTAACAATTAGCCAGGTGTGGTGGTGCATGCCTGCAGTCCCAGCTACTTGGGAGGCTGAGGTGGGAGGATGGCTGGAGCCCAGGAGTTCAAGGGTACAGTGAGCTATGATTACAATACTGCATTCCAGCCTGGGCAACAGAGTAAGACCCTGTCAAAAAACAAACAAACAAACCAAAGTAAACAAGCTAAAGTATGTCTAAATGCTGTCTCTATTGCCTAACACACAATAGAGACTCAGTAAATGCTAAATCTGATTGACAGTTAAAATGTGTTTTGGGAGTTGTGCCACTGCTAAGCCATACTCCCTCCAGCACATAGGGGCACATCTCACTCCTTTCCTGACAGAAGCCGTTGCATAAGTCCAACAAGACTTAATCTAGGCATTTCCATAAATGAACTATGTCCTGGCTGAAGCAGGAGAGTCCAGTGTCATCTGACTCCTATTTTAACCCTAACAATCAGGCTCACTACTGCTCTCGCTTTCCCTGCAGCAATGGCTGAGAACAGCTTGCTGTGGACAAAACCCCACAGTCGGCCAGGCGCGGTGGCTCACGCCTGTAATCCCAGCACTTTGGGAGGCCGAGGCGGGCGGATCACAAGGTCAGGAGATCAAGACCACGGTGAAACCCCGTCTCTACTAAAAATTACAAAAAATAAGCCGGGCGCGGTTGTGGGCGCCTGTAGTCCCAGCTACTCGGGAGGCTGAGGCAGGAGAATGGCGTGAACCCGGGAGGCAGAGCTTGCAGTGAGCCGAGATCGCGCCACTGCACTCCAGCCTGGGCGACAGAGCGAGACTCCGTCTCAAAAAAAAAAAAAACCCCACAGTCTAACGACACACACGCCTGCTAGAGCTTGCTAATAAGCCTGAGCTGTGTTTGTATGAGAAGCCAAAGGCAGCAACTTTTGAATGAACCAGATCTTAATCAAATCCAGGCAGGAAAACCCAGTTTAATCAACTTTCCTCAACAGCCACAATGAAACACAGATGGTATAAGCCAGGTACTCAACTGAAATGACATCCTGAGTGGGAGAGAGAGAAATAATTTTTGTAGCACAAAGCGATGGGACTTTCTTAGATACCTAGGGCCAAGATGGAGAAAGTTAGCTCCAGGACTGTGAAGGTGCGTTGGGGTGTCTCAGGCATGTCAATACACCAGAAATGCATTCTTTAGGACAATTTCACACATAAACAAAGGCAGAGGCACTTGGTTGCCACTGCTATAATAGGAATACCAACCGATGCCATCTACCTATCTTTGTTCTTAGGAAATACAAAAGTATTATGGGGTAGAGGAGTATGATGAATGCAATCCACTCACAAACAGTACAGGGAGAAAAGTATATGATAAGTTTAAAAAACTGGTTTTCCTTCAACCTAGAGGGCTAGGTGTCTAAAGAAATTCAACCACATTGAATTCAGAGATTTCAAAAACTTTCCTAGCAATAGTTATGGGCAATTTTCTGATCCAATCATGTGAGAGCTTCTTTCGGGTTCTCATTTTTATACAGTGACACAATACTATATTCCATACAGAGACCATTTTTCCAAAGACGGCTATTATGCCACAGCCAAGAAAACAGATTTCAAACAGTCCCATCAGCGATTGGGTGGTCATGTCAAAGCCCCAAAAGCACAACGTCTGCCTGTGCAGAGTTCTGCACCACATTCGCCCATCAAAACTTCTAAGAATTGGCCGGGCGCGGTGGCTCAAGCCTGTAATCCCAGCACTCTGGGAGGCCGAGGCGGGCGGATCACGAGGTCAGGAGATCGAGACCATCCTGGCTAACACGGTGAAACCCCGTCTCTACTAAAAAAAAAAAAATACAAAAAAAAACTAGCCGGGCGAGGTGGCGGGCGCCTGTAGTCCCAGCTATTCGGGAGGCTGAGGCAGGAGAATGGCGTAAACCCGGGAGGCGGAGCTTGCAGTGAGCTGAGATCCGGCCACTGCACTCCAGCCCGGGCGACAGAGCGAGACTCCGTCTCAAAAAAAAAAAAAAAAAAAAACTTCTAAGAATTAAGTCACATTGAATGTAGTGAAATGGGTTTGACCATTACTCTCTGTATTTGCTTGTATCATTTATAATTTGGTTCCATTTTTATAAAATTGGGGACATATTTTGGAGTCTTGTTATTTTTCTCACTTACGCCAACAGTATTTTGA